CGTGCCTGTAAAAAAACTGCATTTACTCTTGTCAACAAAAACTTTTTTCTGCATACAGCACGTAGATGAACGCTGTAATTGCGCTATGCCACTTTTGCGAAGTGCATGGTCCCTGTGCCATTTTCTGCACGCAAACATTGCGTGACACCAAAATCGAAGACCTTTTGAATTCGGAGCAGCCACAGCAGCAGCAGCAGCAACAGGGACAAAAGGCTTGTTCCGCTTGCAATTATACGCTGGGCCGCAACAACAATGCCATCTACAGCAAGGATACAGAGAGCGGCGCCACATTTGTGAGCACCAAAGTGGCCGCACTGCCCGAGGTGGCCAACCTGGTCAAGCAGGCAGCCGTGCGCAGTCTTTGCTGCGAGATAAACCCCAACAGGGATGGCGATGGCGGCTTCGTATTCTTTGGCGACTCTTCTCGAGGTCATATCCTCAGTCATACGTTTCGAGTCAGCGATTTGCAGTCGCGTGGCTACTATCAGCTCTTCTCGATTATAGTGCTAATGAAGGACAAGTATTTTCTGCTAAACACCAAGCCCTTTCTGGCGGAACATTTGAAAAAGGTCTCCACGGAATTGCAGGCCGGAGCGCAGCGCACCAAGGCAGCGGAGGAGCTGAACTATTCGGAAAGACAGCGTCGTTTGTCGGGCGCACAGTTTTTAATGCCGACACCACGCTCTCTGATTGAGTTGACGGGCGAGGAGCATGTGTTCGCCCAACTGCATTCACACTTTGCCTGGATACTGTTGGCTGGATCCCGATTCCTCACCGAGCACGTCACCTTCGGCAATCTGCCATGGTTGCCACCGCAAAGTAGCGGCCGACCGCCTGCTCAACGTCTCACCTACAACAGTTCCACTCTGCCAATGATACAAATGTATGAGGAGACCATCGACAATCCAGAACAGGATGAATTCTTCTCGCTGCGACATATCAAGATGGTGGTGGGCAAGGAAGATTTTCCCATTGTTTGTTACTGTGCTCTCACAGGTGTCAAGATTATTGTTCGTGGTGCGCCGGACCGCACTTTTCAATTCATGGTGTGCCTGAAAAAACTGCTGCCGGAACGAATGCACAACTTAATGCGCATTGATGCACAGCATCAGCACTCGATCAGCTCAGAGTACAAGATCATATCGGTGTCTAATGAGATTGCAGTGCCGATAGCCAGCAGTTGCGTGCTCCGCATTGATTTCCTGGACAAGCACATCAATGGCAACGATATCGTCTCCGTCAAGTGGCCCGGCGAACTGCCGCGAAAGTGTTAGTCTAACTATTTAGATAATTACTGCTAACTATACCAGCTTGTTTTATTCTGCAGATCCAGACCTCATGGTTAAGCTACTGAAGGCCGTCCACGCTGTCGAAGAGAAGACTTTCACCGAGCTGGTGCTCAACAAGCAGACAAGGGTGCTAATCGAGGAGTGGAAGAAGTGGGTGAAATCAATATCCAAATGAATCCACATAGTTTAATCTCTCTTTTATCCTTGCAGCAAGGTAATTTGCTTGAATCATGCCAAGTCCGGGAGCGTACAGGCCAAGCTGAAGAAAGTGCTCGGTGTGCAGCCGCAGGACCAGCCGATTATCAATTATTGGAGCACACACTTGCACTAGACTGTGACTAGCTTTAGATTTAGAATTTATAAATTGTTTTTTCACCTTTTGGAATAAAAGTTCTTTATTGCCACATAGAGCGCAACGTTATTTTCCTCGATTGACAAATCAATATCTTAACCAAAAAGCGACGTCCACCGTTTCCACTGGCCACCTTTGTTTACTTCTTGTAGCCGCAGCTTGAGCGACGACCACGAGCACGCTCGAACTTGCGTCCCTTGGACCGAACATAGGGGCGGGTGTGCGAGTGGGGCACACCAGGAGCCTTGCCGAAGTGCTTGCAGGCAGTGCGAGCGGTGCGCTTGCCCTGGAGCAGGAGCGTGTTCTTGCCGGTGGGTGCACGCAGAGCCAACTGATCGAAGGTCAGAATCTCACCGCCAGCCTTCAGGATGCGTTCGCGAGCCGTCTGGGTAACATGGAGGGCGCACAGCGACAACTTGGGCACCGTCAACAGGCGGGCATCATCGGTCACGGTGCCAACAACCACAACAGTGGACTCAGGCTGGTTAGCGGCCTTGAAGAAGCGAGCAATGCGCTGCAGCGACATTGGTGGCCTGTTAGTTTTGCTCATAAACAAACGCTTCAGGATGATGCGGTTGAACTTCTTGTTTGTACGACGTTGCAGGAAACGGTACAGCTGTAAAATGTAATTTGCGTTAGCGACACTCTTATTTTCAATTTCATATTCAAATATTTACCTTGACGAGCAAACGCAGGTAGACATCCTGAGATTTGGGTTCGGTTCTGCGAACCTTACGATCGTACTTGTGGTTGATATCAATACCCTGTAAGAATATTGAAATATTATTACCAACTGGTCAATGAGTCTGCAATATGTCATGTTTTTCAAAGAACAATCAATATTTTTCACAAACATTTAAGATGTTTACAAATTATCATTTGAGCTTATAAATTCTTGCGTCGTACCATTTCGGCGACCGGAAAAAGAAAGAGACGAGCAATGACAGTTCGCGATGGCTAAAATATCGGTATATCGAATATATCTATAATAGTTACTCGATATAAGAAAATTTTAATTAATCCTGAATACGGTATATCTTATTTATGGCAAATAATAGTCATTCAGACAAACATTATTTCAGCCGTAGGTATTTTAACGGTATAAGTGGCTTAGTAACTTTAATATTGATATTAATATTTATCGATTATGTAAAAAAGTTTTTGACAGATACTTAGGGCTGCACAAAGACTTTGCTCAGTAGTGGCAACGCTGTTTGCAGCACTAAAGAAATGGCAGCGGTAAATTTACGTAAAGGCTTTTTACTTGTGCCTCAAAATGTGAGTAAATTTGAAGAATATCAGCATTTCTTATGAATTAAATACCCACCCATAGGTTGTGGCCAATCTGCAGAGGAGCTATGCTTCATCGAAACAAACGAAAGCCAAAACATTAGAAGCTGTTGGTAAATCTATTGCTTCGAAAGGGTAAATATTTCTCTCTAGTGATGATTGGGTATTAAATATTCCAATTGCTTGCAGTTTCCTGCGTCCAAACAAACCATACGCACCTGCTTCAGATGCAGCGAACCGTGTTCGTACCGTGGCTGCCAATTTGCAAATGACCAAAGGCGGAGACCAGCGACAGTTGTCTAACTTAGAAGAAAAGTTCAAGTTTCTCACGGCCTGCTTCCAGGAACTGCAGCATGGTGTGCCCAATTCGCAGGTGCATGAGATGTCCACAGTGGCCGATGTTATTGCATTCTATGAGAGGGCGGTAGACACTACAGTGCCACTGGATGCGCTGAAGCGCATCGATTTGCCAGAGAATTTGCATATACAATATGAATATTTGCGTTTCCACCCTGATACAGACACAAAATTCAATGGAAAAACTGCCTTTCCAAAGAGCTCCACTTTGGTCACAGGGCTCAAATATCGAAACAAATATGCGGGACATGAGGCCAAGCGGTCATGGCCTTAGTTTAATATGTTAATCCTATTCGCTGATTATAGTTAATAAAGTGTTACGCTCTATAAGTATTGAGAGATTGTCTCCGTCAGGGGTGAGTTGTAAAGAGTTTTCAACGCCGACATAACCCTTCGATCCTTTAGGAGTTCCATGAGACGGTCATCTGCCCTAGCCATTTCAAATGTGGGATACATGAACTCGTAGTTGATTTCTGTTACAGAGGGCTTATTCATAACACTGAGAATCCGCTTTTGCAGCTCGATTTCTGGATCGGGCTCTTGAAGCTTGGCCAAAGCGTTTGCTTCACCCAACTCTAGCTTCAACTGTTGCTCCCGCTGCTTCTCTAAATATTTGATCACGCATTCATACTGCAAACCTGTCAGCTGTCGGTTGTCCGCAAGCATTTCGATCAAATGCTGCATTGTATCTGGATGCCTGCTCTGGTTGGGGTTCATTTGGGAAGTGTTGAGCGAATCACGTTGTTTCTTCGATCTGAAGTCGGTGGTCACGAGTGCGATGGCATCATCTAATGGCATATTGCGATGCTCGGCAGGTATCCCATATAATATGTTGACTGTAATGCTATTCAGAGCTTCGTGCTGCGGGGTCACTAGAATAGCGTAGAGGCAACCGCGTGCTGATATATTACTCAGCACTTGGTTTAGCATAACATCTTCATTGGGAAATAGGACATCTACCCGCATGCCAATCTTCCTTAACTGATCCTCAACATATTCTGCGTATTTTCTGTAGTTGTGCAGGAATAGCATATTGGTTAGCAGATGAGGGAGCAGGGCATTATATATACTCACGTATTCTCACGATTCACTACAATTATTTCACAATCGTTAATGGGCACAGCGGCAGCAGCGGCAACGGCGGGCATAACAATCCCACCCTGAACGGTCATTGGAACACCGCCTGGATTATGTGTGATTGCATTAACTTTCTTGGCATTCAATGGAAATGTATTGACTGGCTTTGATTTGATGCTCGCATTTCGCACGGTTAGTGCCTTTGACTTAAATATGGATTTATTCAATGCAGAGGCACATTTGTTGGCAATTTCTTCGCTTTCGAACTGCACAAAACCGAAATTCTTTTGCACCAAAGATCCCAAAACCTTTCCATACGGATGGCAGATGCTCTCCAACTCTTCTCGCGTGCAAACAGGCAGATTTCCAATGAAAATGCGATTCTTCACCAAATTTGGATCTCGCGCAATATTATATCCGACTGAGCTAGGATCTTTGTGAGTAGCCATTCTACTTTAATAACGTCTAAATTTACTTTTATTTAAATGGCCAATGCAGCTGCAAAAACTATTATTTGTTTTGAGATGATTATTACCGGGTATCGATAGGAATATAATAAACCAAGTACAAAAATTATCGATACAGCAATTAATCGATTTCAATTTATTCAATATAGACGTTACTATTGTGATGTTTCAAATTTGAAATGAAGTTTATTGCCGTAAAAACGTAACATAACAATTAAATAATTAGTTACATATATGTTATAATATTTAGGCGTGTATCAAAAATCCATGAGCATCATGTGGCAGATGTGCCTCATGCTCCAATTCAGGCTTCTTTTTCGGCACATAGGGATTATGCTCCGGATCCGCATTTAAGCTGAGCATTGATTGATTAAGTATAGATCATAAATCAAATATAATATATCCAAAATACTTACTGGTAAAGGCTAATGGCCTCCTCGCATTTCACATTGTACCACCAGTCGCATGCAAACTCCTTCTGATTGAATATGGTGCCGTTTGTGCAGAGGAACGAGGCGCCCTGGTGTCCCTCCCGGCCGTCGTGGCACACGTGATAAGCCTGGCATCCGGTCTCCACATTCGCATACATGCCCGGAACGGCGGGCACATTGTGACAACTGAATTGGGTATGCGGCACTTCATGGTAAATCGGATAATCAACTCCCGGCAATCCCGGTATTTTATTTAGATCCTGTTTATCTTCGCGGCGTTCATGATGCTCTGGTTGTGGCGGATTATACAGGTGTCCGAATCTCTGCAGCAACATAAGTAAACATATCAAATGTTGCATATTGCGTAAGCCAAAGACTTGTGCGGTAACCGGTTCCGCAGTCTCCAAGTCTCCGAGTCTTTGAGTCTCCAGCTCCCGCCAAGTGGCAGGCCGCTCATTATTAGCAAACAATTAAACATGTGTATTGCTGTTGTTATGAACATATATGTGCTTGTGTGTGCATGTGTGCGTGTGTGTTTCGTATTGGTGTGTGCCTCAATTGCATGTTACAATTTTTGGGTCAAAAGTGAACGTCGACCACAGCGTCGCGTGGTAAGACACAGCCACGCGTGCCAAGCCAATATGAGGCGGGAACTGTGCTGTTCCCTGGTCTGATTTTCCACACTAATTGCAACTCATCATTGTCGATGTTAATGTTCGTCTTAGACTAACCTGCACTTCAATGGCAATCGCTAGGCCAGCCACAAGCAGCAGCGCTGTGAGCATCGTCTCTGGCTTCAACATTTCTTCTTCTATGTCTTTTCAGGTTTTCTTTATTTACAGTTGTGGGATTTGGATCAACCGTCTGCGCTCAGCTTGAAAATCGCACTGAAGCTGAAGTGCAGTTTTTCCAAGCGGCATCCACTTGAACGGCGCCGCTGTCGCCGTCGTGCAAGCTTTCAAGGGTACCATGAACGATGTCTAACGGTAAGCGCGGTTCGTGCCTCGTGCTTCGCTCGGCTGTTCAACTTTCGATTTTTGGAAGCTGCTTTTCTAAGCTTTTTTTTTGCTTTTTGTTTTTGTTTATTTACTTTGCAATTGAACAAACAGATCGCACTGTCTAAATAGTACAGTAAAACTTTAGGTACATATAGCGATGATAAGCATAAGTATCTTATGCATATGTAGTAAGTAGTTGTTGCTTGTGCAGGAAAGCATAATGCAATATGGTTTATTTTGCAAGCAAACATTTTTTTACGCTTAACAAACTTGCGGATGACTTAAATACAAGAAATATGTACTTATTAAATATGATATGATTGAGTGTAATAACAGCAAATGGAAAGTACATTCAACTTGGCTAAAATAATTGAACTGCTTGTAAATGGATCCTCATTGGCATGGTTACAGTAAGTATTCAATACTCTATAAGCTCAACCATAAACGAAGATTTTCTATGCCCTGAACCCATTGAAAGTGGGAAATCAGGTTGGTTTTGTGAACAAGTATGTTTTTATATTGTCACGAGTTCTCTATTGTTCTGTCTTAAATTCTAGGGCTTATAATTTATGCGCTTAGAGAAGAACAAATGAAAAAGCTAATACAACTTTTGTCCTGCTGGATTCAAGTCGAGCTTGTTGAGCAAATCGTCAAATTCACTAAAGAGCTGCAATCAAGAGTTAAAGAGTTGAAGCTATAAAGCTAATGGTGTCATAAAGGTTGTGCTTACGTGAGTCTTGCCATAGCTATCCACATAGGTCTTACTCCCACCGGCGGTTTTCTTGAACGCAGGCACCGCTTGGCCATGCAACAGATTCACATTTTGATAGGACTGCGCCTTGCCTGATGCGCTAGATGCATGGCTCTTGCCCACGGTGGGCGCCAGTTCCAGAAAATTGGGCACTGCACAAGCCACATAAATGTGAAGTGCAACAAGGCGTAACAGATAAAAATAAAAAATAAAATAATTGCCAAGCTCACCTTTCTTGGGCTGGAATTTCACTTGATTGAGCAACGGATTATGCAGCTGCAGTTGACGGTAGCTGGGCAATGCATGCTTGGGCGGCACGAGCACATACGGATAGCCCACAGCCTGCGGATACAGGTAGGTAGTCTCCACGCTGGGCACCTGACGGTACTGATAGCGGCCTTCTCGGGGCGTATAACGGCCATCGGAGCTGAGCGCTATGTGGTAAACGGTGCGCATGGGCTTGTTATAGTATTGATAAACCTGGTTATTAAATGTGAATTATTATTAATTATTAAGTGAGCTGAAATTATGCACATTATATATTAATTGGTAATATTGATTACCTGTGGATTGCGTTGCTCTGGCACAATGCCATCTGGCACGGAAATGCCCTCCTTTTGCAGGCGGTTCAGAAACAGGCGATCGGTTTCAAAGGCGGTGTCGGGTATCTTGCCACCCGCATGTGGCAGCACTTGCTCGCGATAGATCTGACGTTTCTTTAATTGGTTTTTTGACGATTATTTATGACTCCAGCTACATATGCATAGTGATTGTGGTCTACACACCTTGTGGTTGCGTTCCGCAGTTATTGACTCTTCGGCAAAGACAGCTGCGCTCAGGCTTAGCAGCACAATTAAGTGGCGAAAATGTGGCGATAACATTCTGTTGTTTATTTTGAAATATTTGTATATATATTTTGTTATTTACGGCATACAATAAAAGTAAATCTCTTAGCTAAAGGTCAACTCTGAACTCTAGTTCTTGGCAAACAAGTGTCAGCAGCTTGGTACACAAATCCACATTTCAGACATTTTTATTCAAATTACAATACACACACACACGTCTCGTAAGTCGGCTTAAGAATTTAGAAGAATTGACAATCTCGACGTGACGAAGATCTCTCGGATTCAGAGAGAATTGTGTTGTGTCCGCGTCGACGGTGCCAAACATAATGAATGCAAATGCACAAAGCGCGCTGATCTGTGGCGGGTGCCCACCGCCGCCAAACCACCAGCCAACCAACTAGGTGCCCTCTGCCTCTGCTGCTGCTGCTGCGGCGTCGGTGGCGGTGGTGGCGGCTGCTGCTGTTGTTACCTCTGCTGCCGATGACAACAATAACAACAACCAACACAAGACTTAGTTAACTGTTGGCATCACGTGGTAGCTTGGCACGACAATCATCATCATGATGATGATGTTGCTGCCATAATCTGAAGATTGCCCAAAATACACGATAGTAAAAGTGATCTAGTCGGGTGTGCTGAACGTTAGCATATCCTATATAGAGATAGAAAGAAATAAAGAGTGATAGTCTGCCTCTGTGACAAGAACAGGCCATGGAGAGAGAGTGAGAGCGGGGTACAGAGAAAAAGCGAGATATTTACAATTGATATATAGGCAGAGAGCTAGCAGGAGGCAGTTAAATAGAGAGAGGGACAGAGCTAAAACTATAGAGATAAATAAGCATAAAGACAGCATTCCCCTTGTATGCCCCACTAAAAATTACAGGGTATTGCAGCTGCTGCATTTGCATCTGTGAGTGATCATCAGCAATTTCCTATGGCTTTTACATTAAAGACCAAACACAATATTAGTTGCCATTTTATATTTTGCGCTTTATTTGTTTAGGCCAAAGTGGCAACAAGAAGAGCATAAAGTATTAATAAAAACATAAATACAAACATAAAACAAGATACATTATTGGCAACGTAATTCATTAATCTTGTTGTTTAATCGGGCAGCTTGGCGTCGATGATGCACCGAATCGTTTGGGTCGATTGGACGGGCTACTTCACTTGAAACTTTCAATATTTTGGCTGGCAATATCTTAGTTATTCAAAGCAATAATTGTTTTAGTATTTTATTTTTATATTTTTATGCTGTATAATTTTTTTTATTATTTTTGTTTTCGGACAGAGCAAACTTTTGTTTTTTGTTTTGGTAATTTTTCTTTTTCTTTGTTTTTGTGCTCGTCTTTTGAAAGTGAATGTTTGTTATTGTTTTTGTTGGATTTTGTTGTTGATTGCGCTTCAGTTGAACAATTTTGTATAATGTTTGAAAATTTATTGATTGTTTTTGTTATTATTATAAATATTTTAATAATTTGTGTAGCTCTCGCGGCGGCCACTCAAGCTGGCTGCTGAAGGGTTCATCTCTGGGGACCTTGAAGCTGCTGTGAAAGTGAAATGTGAATTGTGATCTTAGAAGTTCGAATCACGTTTTTGATCTGTATTCATAACTAGGTATAGCTATAGCCATATTCCCACGAAGTTTGCATTTAAAATTCCAATTGCATATGACAGGCCATAGACAATCATACCAAGTGAGCCAGCCAGCTGAAGTGAAAGCCAAGAATGGCTCACAAAGACACCGAAACCGAAGACTCAACATTTGAAATGCCAAACACAAAGCACAGCAGCAGCATAATCATAAGCAACTCATGTAGTTTACAAGATAATTATCGCCGTTACACAATGGCTGTAAATGGTTTTACATTACCAATTACAAGAGCGGAAACCTAAGCCACAAATCGGAGCAGCTTCTGGCATGGGGGCTTCTATTGCAGCTGACCTTGGCGCCATCAAATGAAATCAAGATGCAACCATCAACGTGCACAGCATCCCATTGACGATACAAAACAACATGCTGATGACAATTAAAGATTAATTATTTTAAATCACCGTCGACCTTGGAATAACTCAACTACAACTACAACTACATCCACAACTACATCCACAACTTCAACTTCAGCTTCAGCTTCAACTTCAATTTCAGCTTGAACTAGCCCATGCCTAGCATCGCTGTGGGCAGCTCTGAATTGGTAGCAAATCATCTTTGTTGTTTGCACTCTCGAGTCACGAGCTAATTGGTTAGCAACTGCGGGTTTCCTGGAGCGTTTTTCTTACTCTTTCTGCCATCGATTACAAATTGGAAACGCTTCGGTTTCAAGGATTTCCTAGCTAACATTCCCACGTCGAAAATAACCAAAAAAACAAAACCTTTCGAAACTGTCGCAAAATCAGAAAAGTGACAAGCCAATAACACGAAATGCTCTCCAGGCACAGCTCAATTGTTGAGAGTGTTGCGAAGTCGTAGTAGCATTAGAGTGGTTCGGCAATGGCCTCCAGAGCGCATCGCATCGCACAGCGCATTGACTCAAAGGTTACCCAAATTGGCCCACAATCAGGTTCAATTGCCTTTAAAGCCAATTGCCAATTGCCAATTGCGAATTGCTGCTCGGACCGTCTCGAATTCAATTTGTAATCAGACATGCCTTGGGACCTACATAGATAGATGCGTTGTGTGTGTGTGTGTGTGTGTGTGTATATTTAATGCCAATTACGCATGATTTAAAATTTTTAATAATTTCTTCAATTTTTCATATTTGGGGCCACGTGCTGCAGCACTGATCAATTAAGTAAGGCTGTCAAAAATCAATATGAGGCTCTAGAAGATATAGCTCGACTTGCAGATACCCTGTGTTTAATGACAGACAACTGTTATTTTTTTTTTTTTTTTTTGTATAGGAATTGGAAGAGATTATCCAAGAGCTTCACTCTCCCTGCTTATGCAGCTTTAGAGTGTTCCTCACTTATATTAGGTTCTTAAATTCGATCCAAAATTAAACAATTGTTATTTATATAATAATTAACTCTGCTTTATTTTTTGCTCTTGTTGTTGTTGTTGTTTGAATCTAAACACTTTTCAAAAAATTAAACAGTTACATATCAATCTTCGCTGTTTTCGTGGACAAGTTTTTACATAGAGCTTTTCATACATGGCATATACATACTATATATACAATATGTTCAATTCCGAATAGATTTAGCGAACTAAGATAAAAGTTAACTTTTGGCTTCATAATTAAATTAACTTCGTTGTAGTTGTTGCTAGGATTTGTTTTTCAGTGCACGAAAATGATTTAAATGCAAAAACTGCTTTTGAATTC